TGTGTGTGTGTGTGTGTGTGTGTGTGTGTGTGTGTGTGTGTGTGTGTTAGCCATGTATGGCAAGGCATATATATGGAGGTCAGAACAACTTGGGGGTTGCTTCTCTTCTTCCATCATATGGATCCTGGAGACCAAACTTAGGTCATTATGGCCTTATTATGAGCTGGTCATTATGAGTTGCTGAGCCACCCTGCCAGCCACAATATGTTAATTATTAAAACTATAAGCCAGGTACAATGGCACACAGGAATAATCCCAGCAATCAAGGCTGTGACAAAAGGATCCCTTGGTATTTATACCAGCCTGGATGACATAAACTTGAGAATCTCAAAACAATACAGCAGGTATAGGTTCAAGCCTTTACTCCCAGTATTTAGGAGGCAGAGGCAGGTGGATGTCTGTAAATTTAAGGCCAGCCTGGCTATACAGTGATGAAAAGGTACATACCTGTGCCAAGAGGTGTGGGTGAAACTTCATGGAGGTTCCTCTCTGAACCAAATAGTAGTAATGGGAACAGTTCCACATAGTACTGCAGCCCGTCCCTACTCCCCACCCTAGGCTGTTGTCCTGTTTCAGTGTTTAAAAGAAACATTGTTAGGACTATGCTTTGACCCCTTTGCCTTGTTCCTGGGTTTCAGAACCATGTGTGCTCAGTACTGCATCTCCTTTGCTGATGTTGAAAAAGCTCATATCAACATTCAAGACTCTGTCCACCTCACACCAGTGCTAACAAGCTCCATTTTGAATCAAATATCGGGGCGCAATCTTTTCTTCAAATGTGAACTCTTCCAGAAAACTGGGTCTTTTAAGGTAAAATTCAGTTTTATTATGTTTTCCAAATCTGTTGGCTTTATTTTTCTGTCCACTAATGATAAACAAATGTCTTTTTGCAGCTGGAAACAAGAGGTAGCACAATTTTTAAGATGTGGGTACCAGGTTTACAACATTGCTATGCCACTTTCACACAACCTAAAATCCCTTATAACTGTGGTCCCATGAATGCTGTCTAAAAAACCAAAGGTGTGAAGCACCACACCTGGCTGTATTGTATAGATGTGCATTTTTTTGTATTTTAGCAGAAGGATCAGGAATAAGGTTGCCTATAGCAAATTCAATGCCAGCCTGAGCCACAAGACACTGTCTTTTTTTAAATCTATAAAGTAAAGTGGTTATAAGCTAATTTACTATTATGAATGGTACTTGGGGCTGGAAAATGGCTCAGAGGTTAAGAACACTGGCTGTTCTTCCAGAGGATACTGGTTCAAGTCCAAACACCAACATGGTAGCTCATAACTGTAAGCAAAACACCAATGCACATTAAAAAATAGAAAGGAATCATCACAAAAAAAACATTTTTAACTTTTTTTTATATTTTTACCTTTTTAAATTTTATGCGTATTGGTATTTTGCCTGCATCCACGTCTATGTGTGTCACATACACTGGAACTGGAGTTACAGACAGTTGTGAACTGCTATGTGAGTACTGCGAAGTGAACCCAGGGCCTCTCAACTTTTGAGCTGTCTTTGTAGCCCAAGAAAAATAGTTTAAACCTAGTGTAGTTTAAGTGTACAGTGTTTAGTTTACAGTTCTATATATATCACAGTGACTTTAGATCTTCCCAGATCTACCTTCTGTCTTGCAAAACACATTCACTAGTCCTTTAGAGTTAGGTGTGGCCGATCATCCCTGTAATCTAACTCATGGGAGATTGAGGCAAGATGATTTCCATGAGTTCTTGGACTACACAGTTAAGTTCTAGGCCAGTTGGGACAACAGAGTAAGACTGAGTCTTAAATTATAAGCAGGGCCGGGTGGTGGTGGCGCACGCCTTTAATCCCAGCACTTGGGAGGCAGAGACAGGCGGATTTCTGAGTTTGAGGCCAGCCTGGTCTACAGAGTGAGTTCCAGGACAGCCAGGGCTATACAGAGAAACCCTGTCTGGAAAAACCAAAAAAAAATTATAAGCAGGGTTGTTGACCAGGCCCAGCATTGAAGGGCACTTGTCCAAGCAGAGGACCTGGGTTTCAAGTACGCTTAAACCAGAGAATCCAGCAGGCTCTCCACATCATGAACAAGCATACTTACAGACAAAACCTTCACACACATAAAAGTAAATCTAAAGAATAAAAAGGGAGAAATATGTGCCGTGTAAGTAATACCACTTTAACCTTTTGTATTATTCTACTAAGACAAATACCATTGTATTGCAATTGCCTGTACTATTACTGCTCATTTTACATGCTTCAGTTTATTGCTTGGGAGCAATAGTGCATAGCAGGCTGTTTTGTCTCAACAGTTTGCACAATGAAACAAGTGAATGCATGTCTCTGAACATGTCCCCATTATTAGAAATGCACATTTATAATTTACTCTCTTCCAGATTCGAGGTGCCCTTAATGCCATCAGAAGCTTAATTCCTGACACTTTAGAAGGAAAGCCCAAAGCTGTTGTTACTCACAGCAGCGGAAACCATGGCCAGGCTCTCACCTATGCTGCTAAATTGGAAGGTACTTAATTTTCTCAGGGTATCAAGTAGTACAAATGGGAAAACACCGTAAGTTCAGTAAGAGGGATGGCAGCTGTGGGAAGTAAGTTTCCAAAGCTGTCCCTGTTTGATTGTAAGCAAAACGATCGAAGTTTCTATCCTAGACAGCCCTCATACTAGTCATGTTCTTCCCCTCCCAGGAATCCCTGCTTACATTGTGGTGCCCCAAACAGCTCCCAACTGCAAGAAACTGGCAATCCAAGCCTATGGAGCATCTGTAGTATACAGTGAGCCGAGCGATGAGGTAAAGAGAGTGTTCAGCGACACTTAGTATCTTCACTTGACCAACTATCTGCCTCTTACTGGACGCTTCCTCTACTCTTAGTATGGCCAGCCTATCTATCATTATCTTTACTGGATATTAGTCTCAGCTTAATGTGACTAAAGCCAAGCGTGATAGGACATGCCTATTCTAGCACTCAGGAGTTTAAGACAGAATGGCAAGTCAGGCTACACACAGAACTTTATGCATAGTACACTGTAGCTGTCTTCAAACACCAGCAGCAGTCCTAAGGCCTACACGAACCAGGCCTTTCCATCTTCCTGCCTAATCTGCATTCCCTCTCACTTAAGTTCTTCAGAAAGGCCAGTTTCTAACCTTGTACACTTGGCACTTCATTTATTTAAAAATCCATAGCTTGTTCACGTCATATAACTCGATTAGCCAATGAAAAATGCATTTTTCTCACAAGTACTCTACCACACCATGTTTATTTATAGCTACTCATGAGAAAAATGTGAAAAAAAAAATCTGTCTTTGAAGTATTAAGAATTAAACTTACAGGGAATTAAAGTCACTATAAGTCAAGTAAGCTACATTAATGCTACCTTTTTAGTCCAGAGAAAAGGTCACTCAAAGAATTATGCAAGAAACAGAAGGCATCTTGGTCCATCCCAACCAGGAGCCTGCAGTGATAGCTGGACAAGGAACAATTGCCTTGGAAGTGCTGAACCAGGTAAAATGGTGTAATTCTATGTAGCTATTACTAAAAGTGGTTTGTTGTGGAATGTATGTATAGATGAGGCTTTATTAATTGACCTACTTACATTTTTATTACAGGTTCCCTTGGTAGATGCACTGGTGGTACCAGTAGGGGGAGGAGGAATGGTTGCTGGGATAGCTATTACAATTAAGGTGAGAGAACAGCGTCTAGAAATTTCCTAGACCAGATACAGGCCCATTACCTTTCACGGCCTTCCTTGTTCCACTGTCCTTTTGATCTGTGCTGCATAGAAGCAGTTAGGTTACATTGGTTGCGTCCTCACTCCTCAGGCCCACCTCACCAAGCTACTGCCCTTCCCAATTACTAGAACCAGTTGTAATCCAGGCAAGCCAGTTATCAGTACAACTTTTATTAAAGTGCTTCAAGGTCATGTTTCCATTTTCAAAGGTAACACGTCTTTAACACTCTACGCCTTTAGGTATGCAGACAAAAGCTGTATTATAACGCGTCTCTTCCTTCCCAGGCCCTGAAACCTAGTGTGAAGGTATACGCTGCTGAACCCTCGAATGCAGATGACTGCTACCAGTCTAAACTGAAAGGAGAACTGACTCCCAATCTTCATCCTCCAGAAACCATAGCAGATGGTGTCAAATCTAGCATTGGCTTAAATACCTGGCCGATTATAAGGGACCTTGTGGATGAGGTCTTCACTGTCACAGAGGATGAAATCAAGGTAAGACTCAGATGAGAAAACAGCCACAGTCTCATTCACCAGGCACTACTGAGAGACCATTCACTTAACCCACGGGAACCCTGACAGTAGCTCACATACTTGTCACAACAAACCCAAACATCTACTTCATTTTTACAATGTAACCTGCTAGACTCTGGCTACATTTGTTTCACTAACCCTTGCTCATTTCTGTGCCAACAGTATGCAACCCAGCTGGTGTGGGAAAGAATGAAACTGCTCATTGAGCCTACTGCTGGTGTTGGATTGGCTGCAGTGCTGTCTCAGCATTTCCAAACAGTCTCTCCAGGAGTAAAAAACATCTGTATTGTACTCAGTGGTGGGAATGTAGACTTAACCTCCCTAAATTGGGTGAAGCAGGCTGAACGGCCAGCTCCTTACCAGACTGTTTCTGTTTAAATTCAGGGAAGAGATAAGATTGTCTCTAGATGAAAATTTTGTTTTCCATCTTCCTTTTCAAAATCCTAATCATGAAAGTGTAATAGTGTGAATTCTGTAGTTAGCAGAGACATGGACAACTGAAACACAAAGCACAAACTGTCTAGTCACAACCCACAGACTCCAACACTGTAGAGTCTGAGCTGCAGTAGAGACAGAACCTAACTGAATCTCCATTACTCCATGTCTACTTCAGACACTGTTGAAGAGATGTCACTTTTAACCCAAGGTACTGGTTCTGGTACATATGGATCATAAGTCCATTTGGGAAATACTCGCTTATAGAGATTCATTAATACAGTATCCTGAGATTTTAGCTTCCCATCAAAACTGCACTTCATATGGCCATGGGTACCTAGAAGAAAAACACATAATTGATCAAAGTAAAGTGGACATTCTTAAGCAGTGAATTCACAGCCCATAAACACAAGAACCCCAGGATCTTACCTAGAGGCTCTTTGATGTGTCCCCGGCGGCCCCACTTGGTTCTCAGTTCCACAGGCTTAAACCACATCACATCCTCTTAGAATAGAACACATAAGACATAAAGTCAAACATTTACCTACATAGCATCAAGGCCATTTCCCACCTCTCTCCTTCATTCACACCTACCTCTGTTGAAGAACATGTAACGCACTACTGCCATCTTAGTAAAAATCTTGAAAGGATGACCACTTAGAACCACTCTCTTTATGACCATCCTGTCAGGATCCACTGAAAACAGATGACCTGTAGCAATGAGGCTGTGCATTCCTAAGAAAGGAGAGCAGCTGTTACCCACAGGCCAAGTCCTTCAGCTGCTGCTCTCATCTACCCTGCTGCTTCCCCAAGGCTACAGGAAGACCACTGAAAGATATTTCTAACGAACCAGTCCCTCACACCCACTTTACATATATTGTTTAGCATGTGCTGAAGTGCGCCAACAGGTAACAACTGGTGTATCACCCTGGGCTTATACCCAATTGAGGCTGAAAGTGGTATTTCAAACAAACACACACCAGTATTCCTTAATACAGCAAGACCCATGTCTAAGTACAGAAGAGTTATGGTGCTAGTGGATACTTGAATGTTCATTATTTACATTCCAGAGTCAACATACCATTTCTTCTCTGCTTGAAAAGCAGCACAGATGCAGGAGGGAAAGTGATTGGCGCAAACACTGTCACCACTAAGGCCGCATCAGCAGTCAGGAATCTTTGAAATTTATGTTTATCGGCTTCCACAGTAAGGGTCCAAAATAAGTAAATAGAAAGAAAAAAGGCCTTTTGAGAAACCATAAGCAACGCAAAGTGTCAAAAACCGCCACCTTCTAAAATTATGGTAATGGAGATCAAACCATATGCACATTAAGTGCTCTGCCATAGACCTACAGCACATTCTCAGTGTTTAAGATTTGTATTTTTATTTATATGTATGTATCTAAGTGCAGGTGCCTCTAAGTTGACCAATATGGATGCTGGGAATCCAACCTGGGTCCTCTACAAGCTCCTGTCTGCTTTGTTTTGAAAGGAATTCGTGTAATGCATGCTGGCCTTGAACTGCTGTGTACCTTCTGCCATCAAGGGCTTAAGTTACCAGTTCCTTTTCTGTTTCTCTATACTACTAACTCTCGGGCTTTTCCCTGTGTCAGTAAGCATGGCTTTGAGATGACTGCTTTTGTGCTAGGTGTAGGACAGTAAACTAGTAGGAAAACTGTTCACCTTACTTTCTCAAAATAATAAAAGCTTTTTAATACATTCCATTTATTTTGGGAATGTGGGGGCACATATGCATAGAAGTTAAGAGACAGTTCTCTGCTCCGGCATAGGGGTTAGGGCACTCGCTGAATGTAGGTCCTTAGGTTCAGTAACTAGTCCAAATTACTTTATATTTCAATTACTCAGGTCGGTAAGTGTGCCTCTGTAACAGTGCCAGCTTGGCATAGTGGTGTACCCCCTCCACCTCAGTACTCCCAGCATTCTGAAGGGTCAAGGCCAGCTTGGGCAACATATTAAGACCTAGTCTCTCAAATATCAATAAATAAAAATAGTAAAACAAGACAGCCATATACAAGTTACTTAATAACAAGCAAGTAATAACAGTAATACTAGGAGGCAAAGGTGCGAAGACCCCAAGTTCACTGCAACAAGATATGCTGTTTTCTCAATAAAACTTTTGTTTACAAAATGTTCACACAATGGGCAACAGATGTATCCAGAGCACCAGTAATGCTGTCACCAAGTCATCTCCTGTCACTGGAAGGCAAAAGCCCCAAGTGAGCAAGCAACACATAAAGCTACACTCGGATTAAAAACCTGCCCTGGAACAAATAGTCACAGCAGAGAAGCCTCAGCACAACCGCTTGCATCACTGGGATGCTTCAGACAGGTTCAGACATTTTGAATAAAAACATCATTGGCTCCTGAGTCAGAGTACTAAAAGTGTTTCTAATCCCAGAGACTTTCAACCATCAAGAAGATGTGGCAAGACTCCAGCAGCTTCTATGCTTACCTGCTGTGTGCTGAGAGAATAAAGGTGAAGCTCGGAAGCGCCTGAATCCACAGTGGAAGATCAATTCTTCTTTTGCTTTCACAGGTTCCGTGTTGCCAGGATTCCGACTCACTACCATGTTCAATACTGACATCTGAGGACCAAATAAGAAAAAGCTTCACAGTCTAGGCATACAACAGCCTAACCTGAAAGGCAAAGCGAACACCAGACTCACCCTAAGAACTGACCATGCTACTTAGACCTCTTTATCCACCAACTGACATGGGTGCATTTAGGCCTCATAGGTGATTCCATGCACATGTCTAAGCTAGCTAGCTTACTGTTCCACATCTCAGATTACAGAACCATAGTAAATGTCCTTCACATCACCTCATCACCATATACCCCTCATCTCCATATACCCCTGATCACCATATACCCTCCCAGCCAGTCATCCAAGCCTCTTCAATCGTTATGCCAGCCTTCCCACTCCCAGTATACATGATTATAGGCTACCCAGAGAACAGATCTATACATTGGCATAGACGTTTACTTTAACTGATAACCCCCTCCTCCCCTGTTTTAATCTGAAAAAATACACTTGGAGAAGTCTCAGAACCACACAAACTGCATCACAAAGATGCTTCAGACAGGTTCAGACATCTTGGGCATAACCATCATTGACTTCTCTATTTTAATTCTCTATTTTCAAAAAGGTACGCTCTCTCATCTCAATGAGCAAAATGTTATACACTTGGGAAAAATATGTGCACCTCTCCATTTTCCACAAAACACAGATTTACCTTCTGTTCATAAGGTAGCAAAGAAAATGCAATCAAGGGCGCTCCTTGTCTGAAACACTCGACTACTGAGACAGGGACATCAGAAACATGAAGTGTGACATACCAACCAACCTGCCAGGATCAAGTACAACATTCACAGGGTTACCCTTAATGTGCCAATAATGATGAAACTTTTCTCCGGGTATATGCTAAGTCTTAAAGATAAGGCTGACACTCATGGATACATCTACCACCCAGATTCCAACTTCTCAGCTACTTACGTCCAACCCCTCCTCATTCCCAAACAAACAGCATGATATCAAACAAAAACAAATTAGAAGGTGGACAGAAGGCAGGTACCTCAGCTCCTTCAGCTTCTTTTTCCTCAATCTCTTTAAAGATTCTTTTTCTAGTATTAACAAAATTCTGAAACTGAAATATCCGGGCATAATCTCTAGGAAGGTTTTCTTTAGGGTCCCATGGAGATGTCCGGAAGCTCTTGAGGCCTCTATATTTCTGAAATCTAGAACATAGATTTTTTTAAAAGTAATAGGTTAGATGATGCTATGTAAAACTGATCTCACTTGCAGCTCTAGTTTTTTCAAAGTACTCTTATTTAGGGATATAACTCAGAGGTATACTGCTTATCTAGTATACACGGGGCTCAGCATAGCACAACAAAGTCTGGCACTGGGGATGCTAGGGCAGGATCATGTGTTCCACATCAGACTGAACTACAAAGCAAAGTGTCTCAAGAAACTTAAGGCACCAAAATGGTCTAATAAGCTAGAACAGGGCATGGAAATATATACCTACATTCCCAGCACTTGAAAAGTAGAGGCAGAGCATCAAGGCTAGCCTGGTCTATATGAAACTCTATCTTTTACAAAATCTCCTAAACTAATAGCTTTAGCAAAAACAATGTTCTACAACAGCTTCTAACAAGTATTTCAGAATCGACCCAGGTTTTTCAAAGGGGATGAGTACTTAATAGTGGCTGCCTGGTATCTGTCAGGGAATACAGCTCTTCAACCTGCCTTACATTACAGCCTTATTTATGTCAGGCTTGCTTTCCAGAAAAATCATCTACATTTTCTTGCTTTTACTTTTACAAGCTTTCATTCAAAATATACACTTTTACTTCCCCAAAAAATATATTTCTGAGTATTTACTCCTACAAAGAATATTTGCTAATTAACCTTCATATATCCCTCTGAACAATTCTTTTTTTTTTTTTTTTCAAGACAGGGTTTCTCTGTATAGCCCTGGCTGTCCTGGAACTCACTCTGTAGAACAGGCTGGCCTTGAACTCAGAAATCCACCTGCCTCTGCCTCCCAAGTGCTGGGATTAAAAGCATGCGCCACCACCGCCCGGCCCTCTGAACAATTCTAAACCCTGATTGTTGCTGCTTCTCATATAGTATGTGAGCCCTTCAAGGACAAGGACAATGTTTTTCTCCACTTGCTTTCTGCTCACATAATTCTAAAACCATGAAAGTTTTAAATAAAAGTTGGTTGAAATCACTTGTTGACTAACCGAATTCTGGCGGCCACATCACGGGGGGTATCCACTTCATCTGGAAACATCTCTTCCAGTCTCTCTTGTTTATATTTCTCCAACATTCTTTCCTCGTCCTCTTCATCGACTTTCTCATCATATACATCATCACGCACAGACTCCCCTAGGGTCATAGTTTCACATTCCTCCTCTTCTTCCTCACCACTCCCATCCTGTAAAATGGGGGATTAAAAATATGCAACATGAAACATAGTCTTAACATTGAGGAAGCTGAGCCAGGTGATTCACTATGAGTTTGATGGCAGCTTGGGTGAGAGTAAAGATAGTCTCAAAATAAATAAATAACAAAACCAAAAAGCAACAACCCCAAAAAAGGGCAGGGAATATAGCTCGATTTTTAGAGTGCTTTCCAACCTAGAAAAGGCTCTTGGCTATTAGATCCTAAAGCTGGGCATATTTCACATGCCTACAGTATCAAATGCTGGGTTCAAGATCACCCTCAGCTACAGAGTTCTAGGGAGCCTGAGATACATAAGACTGTGTCCCCAAAAATAAAAATCCTAGCACCCACAAGATGGCTGAATACGTAAAGATGCTTGTTTCTAACCCCAATGACCTCATTTCTAAACCTGAGTTCTATCCAGGGAATCCAAATAATGGAAAAGGGAGAAATGACTCCAGCAAGCTGTTCCTGCTACCACACACCAGTTCACATATAACACAAGCAAGCATGCAAGATAGGCATAGTGATGGGCACCTCTCATCACAGCATTTGGGAGGCAAGTGTGTGTGTGTGAGACAAAGTTCAAAGCCAGTGTGGTCTACATAGTGAGTTCTAGAACAGAGTAACATGTGACCCTGTCTCAAACACCTCCCTCAAAAAAAAAAAAAAGACAACCCACATACACACACCTAAAAACAAAGTGTGTGGAGATGTGGTTCAACTGGTAACTGTGGGTCACTTGGCATGTGTGAAGTCCTGGGAATTGATTCCTAGCGCCACTTATGTCATGGTTTCTATATGCTTGTCCCACGGAGTGGCACTATTTGGAGGGGTGGCCTTGTTGGAGTAGGTATGTCACTGTGGGCGTGGGCTTAAGACCCTCATCCTAGCTGCCTGTAAGTTAGTCTTCTATTAGCAGCCTTCAGATGAAGATATAGAACTCTCAGCTCCTCCTGCACCATGGCTGCCTGAATGCTTCCGAGTTCCTGCCTTGATGATAATGGACTGAAACCTCTGACCCTGTAAGTCGTGGTGTCTGTTCACAGGAGTAAAATCCTAACTAAGACAACTTCCAAAACTTAATATGCTAGAATACTCTATAATCCAGGAACTGGGGAGGTGGAGACAAGAGAATAAGGAGTTCAAGGTCATTCTCTGCTACACAGTGAGCTCAGGGTTAATACATGGGATGCTGGAGACCTTGTCAGGAAAACAAAAAAACAATAATAAATGTCCCAACATAAAAAAAAAAAAAAAAAAAGGCCGGGCAGTGGTGGCGCACGCCTTTAATCCCAGCACTTGGGAGGCAGAGTCAGGCGGATTTCTGAGTTCGAGGCCAGCCTGATCTACAGAGTGAGTTCCAGGACAGCCCGGGCTATACAGAGAAACCCTGTCTCAAAAAAAAAAAAAAAGCCAAACAAAATAGCAATCAGGCTTAGTGTCCCATGCCTATGATCCTAGTTCTGGGAAAATTAGCATAGGATTGCTGTGAGTTCAAGGTCACCTATGGGCGAGTAGGATTTTTTTTTTTTAAAAAGATTTTAATACTTAGACACCTATCTGCAACCAATATAAAATATAAAAATGTAAGGTGAGACCATGTTTATCTGAGTACAGGCATGCCTGTAGAAGTCAAAGCACAACTTTGTCTTTCCTTACCTTTTGCCTTGAGGCAGGATCTTTCAATGTTTGTTAACTTGGCCTCAGTGTTCTAGAGGTCCTGTCTCTACTATAAATCTTGCCATTGGGACACTGAGTTCACAGTGTTACAATACCACATCTGGCTTCACATGGGTGCTGGAGATTCAAATGCAAGTCCTAAAACTTTTGTGGCAAGTGCAATTTACCCAATGTGCCATTTTCCCAACTTCAAAATAAATGATACCCATTTTCCCCACTTAGAGCATAGTTCAGCAGCTGATTTTACACTACGGCATTGGTTTTGGAGCCATATACATAGGTGGCCCAGTGGCCCATTTTCTTACCTGAGACTCCTCTTCCATGAAACCTTCATGTTGTATATCATCATATTCATCGCCATCCCCATCACTTTCATCACCTTCATCCAGAATCCACTCAGCCTGGTAACTGGATGTTCCTTTAGGGACCTTCTTTACCACCCTGGAACGTTGTTTCAGTAAGTCTGTAATAACACAATTTTCTGTATCCTCACCTATGCAGGCACTGCTACCAACATGAGCAATAGCAGCTACATGAAAACAGCCCACTTCCAAATTTAATTCAGTTATCGACAAACACACAGCTAAATAAACCCAGTAGTGGACCTAATGTCATTCATTATTTAAAGAGACAAGCCTGGGGTGATTTCTGGAGAGGAAACAGAGCTGAGCTCAGTGTTTGCTTGTTTCAACCATTCAGTATTTAAACTTCAATCACTTCCTCATCCAGCCTATAAGCATATGAACCTCTACCAAGTAAAGAGACATACAAAATTAGAGTTACTGACCACTTGCCTCATCCAGCTCCTCCTCAGTGGGCCACGTCTGCTCTCCTTCCATTGGATCTGGAATAACCTCTGTTTGTAAAGTCTCCTGTTGATCAGGGTCTGCCTTCATCAGAACCCTAAGGTCTTCTTCCATGTTGGCAACAGCATCTGTAACACAAACCTAAGACCCAAAAGCAGGTAACAGCCTGTCAGATATTCACCTGAAAGATCCACAAAGTAAACAGAAAATCAAATTTTGCAAATGGCCATCTCCTAGCATTTCAACTCTGCTCTCCTCACTTCTGAGACTGTTACTATTCCCGACTCCTGTTTACTACATAACCTTTCAATCAAGCTGCCCTCTTCCGGAGGGTGGTGCGTGCCTTTTAAGCAACACTCAACTGGCAGAGGAAGGCTGACCTCTGTAAAGTTTGAGGCTAGCCTGGTTTACATAAGTTCCAGGCCAGACACTGCTACATAGTGAGGGTCTAGTATTTTTAAAAAGTTCAAAGAAAGCCAGAAATGCTAGTGTGGTAGACACTGCTTTAATTCCTCTACTCCATCAAGATATGTAGGTTCAAAGTCCCAACATATTCTTTCAGCTCTGCTGGACTAAGACATTCATCTGCTTGGCTAACTCTGATCTCTCCTGTGCAGCTAGCTGGTGTACTCTTGACTTCCACAGCAGGTCTATACCTTAACTACTGTATTTTTTAAGTTCACAAGTATTTAGGTTTTTTTCTAATTCACATTAAGTTCTGAGAAGAGATCACCAAGTACCTAGAAAGTACCAGATAAATATACTTACCAACATGTATCTGAATGTCTACTCCCTGACATTTCAAACCAGCCTCAGCATGCAAACTATCTGCTCTGAAAATTTAAAAAACAGGGTAGGCCCACAAGGTAGGAGAGAACCAAACCTTCCACACCAGTGACATACCCCTCTCCAGCATACAAAAATAAGTTCCGTAAAAAAGTTAAAAACAATCGCAGTCAAGGAATGTAGCCAAGTAGTAGAGGGCCAGCTTAGCCTGGGATCAACTCCCAGAAATGAAAACCCCAATCTTACCTCCATTGCCATGCTTGGTTTCTTTTGGGATTTAGTCACTCTGGGATTTAAAGGGAAAGGATCCACAGGCGCATCGATTTGACTCATTTGGAAATCACCATGTCCAACAATGTGCAGCAAGCTATTGACATTCAGAGTCCTCCCCCGAACATAGCCTGAGAGGCTCAGGGTGCCCACTGAGCCACTCTCCTCACTAGGCACGAAGTCAGCAACATGGGCAAACAAGTAAGCTCGCCGGTCCCGAAAAGCAAGATGCCGTTGCTTCTGGTTAGCTAACTGTCTAAGTAACAGTCCGGATTCCTGCTGGGTGTCTAGTAGCAGGAGTTTGTCTTCAGGAAAGCGTTTCTCCACTGTTTTATTTAGCTTCTTCCTGGCATCTATTTGTTTCTTTGGTGGGAGGCCAGAAAGCCCCTGGACAGCTAGTGCTGAAAAAAGAGAAAGGATCTTAGGAACTCATTGTTTGACTACTTGAAAATTTGTTTCTGCTGGGTGGTAGTGGCGTACGCCTTTAATCCCAGCACTTGGGAGGCAGAGACAGGCGGATTTCTGAGTTCGAGGCCAGCCTGTTCTACAGAGTGAGTTCCAGGACAGCCAGGGCTATACAGAGAAACTGTCTCGAAAAAACAAAAAAAAAAAAAAAGAAAAAAAAAAAAAAGAAAATTCGTTTCCAGTTCACAAACAACCCATCGGTCAGTTCTGCTGTGATCCCAGAGATCACTAGGAAACTCACACTGAGCTAATAATAAATATCACAGTGAGTGTAACTTCCTATTCCTCCCCTGGGCACAGGACTGTCCAGAAATTAAAAAAAAAAAACCTCTCTTTAATATTATGAAAATAGCTGGGTGGTGGTGCATGTTTTCAATCCCAACACTGGAAAGACAGGGGCAGGTGGACCTCTGTAAGATCAAGGCCAGCCTGGTCTACAGGACCAGTTCCAGGACAGTCAGGGCTACACAAGAGAAACTCTTTTTGTCTCAAAAACACCAAAAAATAAAATATATGAAAATAATGTTTATCTGAACAAGTATAGCCCACAACAGCAGGATACAACCCACTGATTTATCCTTAAACCAAATGTTAAACATTATGCCTGGAAAATCAGAATTGTTTAAAAAAAAAAAAAAGGGAAAAAATTTACTTTCTTTGCTGGTCTCTGATACTACAACACACTTACTATAGGTGGGAAGGCCCTGAGCAAAGAGGCAAGATAGACAATAATCCCCAGTACTGTCCCAGCCTTCTAGTGGGTCCAGGAGGAACA